ACCTTTTTTTAACTTTTACATCTCAATTTTTTCACTGGCACCCGTACGCACATGACTACGTGCCCCCCCCCAACTGAAAATCGCCGATCGATTGCGGACCCGGACATCTTTGCATCACCAGACTCGAGCAGCATATTGATTACTCTACTTCACAAATAAGAACTTCAATGGAAACATAGTAAAAAAGTGCTTCGCGCTCTGAAACTATGAAAAAGCATAAGATCTCGTTCGAGCGTTTTCCAACTTCAGTTCCAGCCCAACCTCCATGAAGGAAGGGCGTCTTTTGTTACGCTGCCATAATATGCCAATAACTTACCCATCTTCGCTATAATTTACTCACACCAACCTGAAAAGTGGCCTTTCACATAATTATCAATCTGTTATTTTAAAAATCATATCTTCCCGCAGAATTTACTTCTGCTTTGAATATTTTCTCGTGATTACCTTGCTATATTTGCACTATTACATAGAGCCACATACCAATGAGCCTATTAATCGTAGACTCTTTCCTACCCGCTTTTTGCTTTAGTGTGTTTGTATTGTGTATAAAAAACTATGAAAAATATCAAAAAATCTTAAAATATAAAACTACAAAAAAGTTTAAAATTTTGAAAAATGATTATAAAAACTAAAATTTCATTTTATTAATTGTTTATATTTATCTCTGTCTCTAACCTTTCTTGAGCATATGTGGCTCCCTCTAGCTTGCATCAAGTAAACTAACTTATGCAATTTTCTTATTTCTGCTCCCTTTATTTAATTCTGACAGTGGAGTGGTGTCTGGTTCACCCGGGTACCTGGGCATAAGCCCTACTCCATGTAGAATAATTAGAAAATTTCGAATGATGAACAAAAATAACCTTAACTGAAATTATTTTTTTTAATTGGAATTAATTGCTAATTCTTTATCCAGAGAGCCGTCGAGCTGGTAAAAACCCTGCAATACAAGCGTTAGTACATATAGATGGGAGTAAGTGCTAGAGAAATGGTGCCAAAAATACAGATAGTTAAGTTGTGGAGAGGATAATCAAAATAATACAAAATAAATAATGAATTAATAAGGGTATACAATAACATAAGCAAAATAAAAAGTGTCATACATAGTAACTAGACGTCACATACAAAAAAAAAAAAAAAAAAGGTACAATATAAAACAGCTACATTAACCATACATTAAGAATTGAAAGAGGCTTGTCTTTATTGTCCAGGTCATTGTGATTGTAGTCTGGGATTTCATTACAGGATGAAAATGAGAGTGCTTTGCTTTTCGTGTTTTTTTTTTTTTTTTTTTTTTTTTCCAATTTGGTAATAGAAAAATCTTAAAAACACAAATACCCAGTTCCTCATGTATCCTATTATTTCTGATATACCACACAGCGTTGACAATCTGTCTGAGGGTGGAGTTCTGAGCGACTTTTAACTTTCCTCTGTACTTATTGCACGAGTAGGCCCCTACAAGACATGCATAACAAAGTAGCGGACGCAGAATGTATTTATAAATGAGTAATTTGTTATCTATAGATAAAACACTGTTTCGAGCAGTTAAGGGGAAGAGTCTAGCTTTACGTGCTCGAAACTTCTGAATACTAGCTATTATGTGTGGGTTCCATGAAAGTGGATCACCGTAAGATAAGGGACTTGGTTGGCCCAGGAGACAGAGCTTCCGTAGAAGTGACGAATTTAATTCTGACGTTTCTTCTTGAATTTTTGCTTCCTAGTAAACAGGATGCCTTTAGTTTTGTCGACGTTTACTTGAATTTTCCATTGTACAAGCCAAATCTCAAGTGCATGTATGTAATTTTGTAATCGTTGGATAACTGAATCGGGAAATGCACTTTATGAAAGAATCGCTGTGTCGTCTGCATACATAGCTAATTTTGTGTCCTGTGTTGTGGGTATGTCATTCACATAAATATTAAAGTAAATTGGGCCTAGCAGAGACCCTTGCAGGACCCCAGCCCTAATGGGATGTTTTGTGGAGTTTGTTCCAGGCATGTGAACGACAAAGTTTCTACCTGCAAGGTAGGACTTGGTAATGTTTGTGATATAACCTGGAAAGCCTAGGTTGTGTAATTGTAGATGAGGGCCTCCAGCCATACTTTGTCAAAGGCCTTGGCTATATCAATAAAGATTTCTCCTGTGACTTTACGGTCTCTCATTCCATCTGAAATCAATTCAACAACTCTGTGTAGCTCATTAGCTTTTCCGAGGTTTCTTCGGAATCCAAATTGGCTGGCAATGATGATATCATGGCTTTCAAGGTGACCATTGATGCGTTTAAGAAGAGCAGCCTCGAAGATTGTGCTCAGTGACGATAACAAACTTATTGGCCTGTACGTCCCAGGATTAGTAGACGGCTTGCCAGGTTTCAAGATGGGAATTATTTTCGCAGCCTTCCAGGAATTGGGGTAATACTGCAACTGGAGCATACGACTGAAACCTTTGCACAGCATGAAGATGAATTTCCTGAGAAATATTTTCAACATTTCATTAGTAATCCCATCTAACCCAGGGATCTTCTTTTTATTGAGTTTATCGATATAGCCTACTACCTCCGAAGGCATTACTGAAGGGATGTTGTTTATGTTTGAGTTTGTTGTGAAAGTGGAGTGGAAGTTGTGAACAAGGGTTTCTGTTGTGGGGTCATCTATGTTGTTTGTGCAAAACTGAGATTCCAGGAGCTGAGCTAATAATTCTGCTTTCTCAGTTTCAGTGTAGTGGATCCTTTGAGGGCCTTTAAGGGGCGGAATTTTATTGTGGCATTTGGTATACCTAGAGGTTGCCCTCCACAGAGAATTATCTTCTGCTGAGAGCGAGGTTAGGTAACTGGTCTAGTGTTTTGTGCCCGTGCATGCGTAAGAGATTTGACTGCATTGCATAGTCTGTTAAACAGCTGATTGTCATCTCTGCAGAGAGTTCTTTGGAATTTCCTTCTCGCAGCATTGCGCTGCTTGATGAGACTGGCGAGTTCCTTACTTCTTTTAACCTTTCTGTGGACGATTTCTTGCTTTGCATGCTTGTGAGCAGAGATAATTTTTTTCCGTGACCTCCTGAATAAAACTATCAATGTTATCCCCGATTGTATCGTGACAAAGCTTTGACAAATTTTTGCCAGTCCATGCAAAAGGCTCTAGTGTCTGATGTGGTACAGCTACTGATGTCGGGAATCATTTTAACCGGATTGTGGGCCGAAGAAAGTTCGTCAAGCACGAAAATATCCAGTGGAACACTGATATTTCCGAGCAAGAAGAAGTCAATAATTCTCGTAAACCCAGAGGTATGCCGTGTTGGTGTGTTTGAATCTGCTATGTGTAACCTAGCCGTGTTGGCCAAATTAAAGATTACACGTCCAGTATCATTTGAGTTGTAGCAGTTCCACGCGCGGTGTCGTGCATTTAGGTTTCCACCAATTATGATGTGCTTGCCGAGAGTTAGTAAAATTTGTAGGTCAGCCAGGACTGCCTGAACATTACGTCCTGGAGGTGTGTAGGTGGAGACAAAAGTGTGTGTTGTAGAAGTGTTTGTTGTGAGTGTAATAGCTGATTCCTCAATGACCGAAAGCTGCGGCTTTGTAATTAAGTGATTGGGGGATACAGCGTTTAATCAGGAGTGCAGTTCCTCCCCCTCTCGGGCGGGAGGTGGTGGGTGCTCTGTTGGATATATGCACAGCATAATTCTGCACAAAAATCGAAGAGGCAGGGCCAAGCCTGTGCTCTTGTAGGAACATAATATCAGGGTCAAACTCATTTATAAAATCTCTCATGAATTTTTTGAGACAATCCATTTGCGTTCCATGTAATAATATTCAACATATTAAAGATATTACACATTGTCAGTGTTTACATTATTGCCAAAGACATCTTCAAATAACTCAAATAATACGAAAAATTTATCAGTCGCACTATTAGTTGCCTGTAATTCAGGTATTTTGTTTGATATTTACCTTAAGACATCCATTAAGGAGATACCCTTAAACATAATCCTAAGTTATTTAAAGAATTTAGCGATTTCTATAAGGCCCGCAAGGCCAACATCATTAGAGCTAATTACATTTCTAGAAACATTTGCATTTTTAGTCTTATTAGTTTTAATACCATCATTTGCATTAGGGACAGTACTGCTTAACGATTCAGATTGATCAATAGATTTACTATTTTGCTTATTAACTACATTAGCATATGAAATGCCTGTAAGGACAGGCTGGAATAGCGGAAGAAATTTTTGAACTTATTAAACAGCACAGCGTGACCAAAGTCATGGAAGCATTAGGTGAAGGAACAGGAACACTACTGTGACTACATCTTGCTTAGGCTTGTGGAATTTATCGGCTCTGCTCTGCATCATTAGAGTTGTAATGCAGTGCTCATGCTGGACGTCACCAAAGCATTTGACCGCTTTTGGCATGAGGGCTTGATATATAAATTAATAATGATGAATTTGCCTAGAGAAATGATCTTACTCACATGATTTTATATTTCAAATCGTTACTTTACAGTTATCTGCAAGCAGAGTCATTCTGTATATAAAACTATCGCTGCAGGAGTCCCCCAGGGGTCCTGTCTTAGCCCAGTACTCTATCTTTTCTATGCGGCTGAGTTCCCGCTGGATAAACTCAAAAGAAATACATTGCTGGCCTGCTACGCGGATGACACCGCTTTAGCGGTCAGATCTATTCAACCTAGCAGGGCAATTTCTGTTATACAAGATATTATTATGGACATTAAAGAGTGGTGCTCCAAGTAGAAGATTTCCATCAATGCGACTAAATCACAGCTACTTCTTGTTAGAAGGAAGAAAGAAAATACTGGTCTCAGTTCAGCCACTTTACCTATTCGGCCAACGTGTCCCGATGGTAAACAAGGCCAAGTATTTAGGTGTTTACTTGAATCGAAGACTCACGTGGAGTACGCATGTCAATTACATTGCAAACAAGACCAGAGGAATTGCTCAACAATTACAAGTACTGCTAGGGCAGCAGCTCGCAAAGTTAGATCTGAAAAGGAAAGACAGATTTATATTTCCATTTTAAGACCAATTATGTGTTATGCGTCCCCTGTCTGGGCGACTGCTACGAGCTCAGATATCAACATATTGCAGGTGACTCAAAACAAAATCTTACGCACCATTACAGCAGCGCAGTTTTACATCCATAACAAACACTTGCACGATGATTTACAAGTTGAATATATCGAGAAATGTCTGCAAAAATTTAACAGCAAGTTCTTTGACAAAGGTTTGAATTGCAGTAAAGGAAACTTTAATGCTGTACTGAACTATGTCTGCATTCCTGAGAAGAACAATAATATTAGGTCTTTCACGGCTCACAGAATGAGGTATCACAATTTTGTCACCTAGCCCACTCGTTTTTATATATGTAAATAACACATTTTCATGCATACAGTATTTCACTTTCATTTATTTATTACATGTTTAACACTGTATCCCCTATGCACATTTCATGTATTTTTATTTCTTTTGCATCTTCACAGCTCCATACACATGATTATTACTCTTGTCTCAGGAGTAAGAGTTAAGTTACTTTGATGATTGGGCTTTTTGTCACTATGGCCGATGGGCCCTCTTTTCCTTACTTGCTCCGATTTCCCGGCTAGGAACTAGCTGATAATTGACACTCTGATTGTCCTTACGGGATTAGATGAATATAGTTTATTAAAGCTTAACTGGGCTAATTAATATAAGCATAAGCAATTAGCATGTAAGCAGTGACTACATCTTCAAACGATTCTTCTGAATCCTGAGAAATGGACTTTGACAAAATTCTAGACTATTACATTTTTTCATTTCAAGAAAAAGAAGACTGCAGCAGCTCGCACTGTGCCTTTGTTGAACGTTTAGATGGCATAGATGTTTAATTTACATCTACCATTGAATGATGACTGATCTGTTTCTACGAGCACCGATAGATGGCACAACATTATGGTGTCTTTTCAGGATGTCTCGCTTTGCTCCGCCCAGCGTGGTTTGTGGCCCCTCCTGTTCGAACCTGCTCCGATTCTTCTTCCGAGATCCTCCCACGTCTGGAACTTTATATGTCATGTGCCTTCGGATTTTCTTTCAAGCACCGGCAAAGTTGCTCTCAGCAATAGTTCGGTATTATACAGTGTCTAAGCACTAAGCCGCTAACGCTGGCTTAAATGTTAAGAAGGAAAAGCTCGCAGCAGCAGAAGTGGCTCCCTTCGAACCCAAGGTTCTTTAATATTAAAGATTAGGCCAGGAACGGAAAAAGCGTGCCATTGGTTGCTGGTAGTGACGTCACCCAGGTGACAAGGCACATGGGTCGCCGCGTCTGCTACATGATTTTGGGTAATAGAAAAACTGTAAACTAATGTAAGCTATCATTTTATATGCAATAGTTATAATAACATACCGAAAATACCGAGTATATACTTTCTGATTAAGCATTTTGTTAAAACAAATATTTATTTTATGCACAGAATTCGTACGAATATGAATAAACTATAATAATAATGCTGAAAATAATAATAAACATCCTTTTCTTAAAGGAAAGCATTAGAAAATGAATAAGGATATTTAAGTTAATTAAGGGATATAAATTTTGGAAAACAAGGTATTTGTCAATATTTTTGTGTTGTATTGTCTGCATTAAAATTAAATATATCTTGTTGAAGAAAACACATGAAGGCATAACTGCTAAACCACGGTAATAACATAATTAAAAAGTATTTTCCTATCTATTTTCATTGCTCGTGCATTTTTTTTAATACAAATTAACTTTGACATTCCATCACAAATATATGATCGTGATTTTCAGTTTAAATCACATAACTCAGGCAAAAAATATATAAAAATATTTAAATCAACAAATTCATATTTAATTACCCTAAAATTCTACAAATTTCTTAATATCACATCCCTATACTTTTAAATAGACTTATCACATTCTTTTAAAGTCACTTACTTATATTGATTCTCTTCAGATTTCAGCAGAAGTGCATATATTTTCAGTATTATCTAAAAGCACTCTTATAATCCCTTAAACTCCTAAGATTTCTATAGAACATTTATCCTGGAGTGTTTATTTTCTCTAGCAAATAATCTTCGATTTTCACGCCCTATTCTTCCCTTCATACATTAAAAATGGAATAATTAAAATACATTTCTTATGCATAAATTCACAATAATAAAACTAATAAACTTATCCTACATCTTAATTTCAATTTAGCCTGTATTCAAATTAAATATTTTTAATTACTAATGTATTTATATCAGGTTGTTTCTTAAAATTCTTTTGTTATACTCAAAATAGTGTTTAGTATTTGATTATTTGTCTTTCTCTTATAATTAAAAACAAATTATATGGAATCAAAATTAAAACATATGCAGCAGTTAAATAACACTGAAGAGAATATTTTACTTAATCTTTCGCTGCTTGTATTCCACCACAATACACAGATTTATTTTCCTTCAGGGTCAAGCATGTGTAAGTTCACTTAGTTATATCGATTAAATTACATCAGGCATATGCATTAGTTAAATAAGACTGAAGGAAATATGTCACTCACGCATTCGATGTTTGCATCATAGTGTGGTCGAGAAATTGTTCTTTCCTCACGATGTAGCATGTATCAGTTTACTTAGTTCGCAATGCTTAACCCAGACACTGCTTCAATACATAGAATTACGTTTGGGATGTAAAGTAACCAAAACATGTGAATGAAGTTGGATAAGCGAATTTATTAGCTAATCATTCAGGTACTCAGTATTGGTAAACATGACGCTGAGTTTAAATATCTCACTATGGTGCAAGTCTCCTTCACAAAATGAAGATTATGATAAAAAATTATTTAAAATGAGAAATTTTTCAATTTTAAATGTAAAATAGCAGTAAAATGAAAAATAAATGTAAAATTACATCACAGTTATATATGAAAACCTCATAACTTTATTAAAAAATAGTCAGTTATTTTATCTGGTTGTAAAGAGTGTTTTCCACCAAAAAACGTATTGGCGTGTATAATTCTGACACAACGCTATAGCACAATTTGCCACTTCCGACTAGGTATAATAGCAAATTAGCACCACAAATCAAAGCTCCACACCCCAGCAGAAACGAACGAAGCTCTGTATTGGCTCAAAGCCAGGAAAGTTAGTAGTTTCCTCAAAACTATTATTTCACAAGTAGAGAAGATACGGACGGCAAAATCGACGGCTGAAAAACTATTTGCAAGGTTCCAAGCTGTGATGACTAATGAAAATTGTAGAATCAGATGATTAAAAAGATGCTTATGATCGCGGACTCTGGCTGGACTACGAATGACTGCTGTACCTGTCGACGACGGCTTGCTAATGCAAGACGTCCAACGTTAACTTCTCACATAGATAGTATGCTCAGTATTATTGTGTTTTTCGCCTTCGAGTGGGCGGTGTGTAAAATACATGCCCTTATTGATTTACAATGGTGAACGGCCGCTCTTAATACGGCAAATCTGAAAGAACGGATAAAAACTCCAAATAGTTGTACATCTCAAGTGTATGGATGTGAAACCATAAACCTTGCAGGAAATTTTACAAACTTTACAGGTCCTTAGGGGAATGATTAAAATGTAGTGTTAAAGGCCTTCGTGTCGTACACCACTCAACGAATGATGATCTCTGATACAGTGATGTTGCATAGGAAAAGGGAAAATTTGATTCACGGGCGAGGTTAGTGACGAGTGGTCGGAACTTGTAATCCTCAGGTAGAACCACGTAGTCAGACAATTTGAAAAATTGAAGGTTTTGACAATTAAGTGCCTCGTCGAAGAAATTGCTGTTCATTTTATGGAAGAAAATTTCGACTCTTTCAATCTTTAAGTCCCTATGAAGGGTGTCATTCGAGACATAGTAGTGGGCATTAGTTATAATTCGTAGGAATTTATTCTGTGTTACTTGTAACTTCTTTAAATCATTTTTACTCAAAGTCGCCCAAGCAGGGGAAGGCGTAAGTGAGTATCGGTTCGCTCCAAGTAAATCTATTATTGAGAACAGCACCTAAGGTGGCTTTTCTTACAATTGGAACATCTACGTTAAAGACTTAAATAGTCATGTCGAGTTCTAGGCTGTTTTTTCTTCATTACGATAAGTTGTGACTTCTGATAGAAATCCGCCATTTGGTACACCATTCTTCAATAGCAGGTATCATTTCTTGGAGCTTTTTAATTGCGAATTCCCGATTTAGTGACATCACGGCTAATGCCGTGTCATCCGCATAGCATCCAAGAAATGTATTAAAATCTGTAGTGTAGGAAAATCGATCACATAAAATAAAGTATGGGTCCTAAAATTGAGCCTTGCGCGACGCCAGCATTTAGACGTCTATATTCAGAGTTGTGGTTACGGAAAATTGTCAAATTTAAGGCTAATAAGCTTATAAATGAGCTCCTCATGCCAGATGCGGTCGAAAGCTTTCGTCACATCCAGCATGAGTAAGGCGACACTTCCATTATTATGAAACGCAAACCCCTTTAAATTCACACAGTCTGACAAGTTGTTTCGTCGTAGAGAGCCTTTTTCTGAAGCCGAATTGCTCCGGCGGTAGTTTATTCATATGTGGTTCTATTCTTTTCAAAATAACCCTATCAACGATTTTTCCGAATCCGAGGAGAAGGCCTATGGGTCTATAATCGTCAATATTTGTAACATCTTTACCCGGTTTCGGCAGTAGAAAGACTTTGGCTTTTTTCCATTTATTGGAAAAATAGTTATTCTCAAGACAAGTATTTAAAATGCTAGTAAACTTGGTAACAGTGCAGATCGGCATATTTTTCATGAAGACATTGAGGATATCATCCGAGGTGCTTTACTTTTTGTCATCTTTTTAATGATCTTTTTGATCTCTTTCGGCGTCAATAAAGTCAGTCTTATTTTTGACGTCTGAACCTCTGATCCATTCCTGAATGAAATATCTTATGTCATAGGAGAACAAATTATCACAGGGATTTAAATTGGGCATAAACTGCCTCTCTAAATGTTCTGCCATAATTGCGGCCTTGTCCTTATTGGTAAGTGCAATTTTTGTATCACTATAAACAGGTTTGTTACACTGCAGCTTTCTTCTAAGTTTTCGGGCGAAAGACCAAAATGCGTTGTTAGGTTCATTAAAACTAAGAATTTTGTTATTCCAACAATCTCCCCTGTAGTTTTTTATGCTTTTATGCATTTGTTGAGTTTGTTCATTTCTGTTTTAAATTTAGGGTCCCATGAGATATGCCAACATTTGAGCAGTCTATTTCACTGTTTAATCTTGTCTCTGATAGAAAGTGGAAGTCTATCTGCGTTAATATCCGTTGGAACCTTTCTAACGGCTTTGTTATAGGCATTAAGAGAATTATTATTAAGGACGTCTACGGTATGATCAATTTCCTGTATTGTCCTTAAATTCTTAAAGGCAGGAGGTTTTTCTAATAAGGAAATGTAATACACACTGCAGTCTGATTTTTCTAAACTTGGCATCGTTACATTTACTGGTGTTTAGCGTAGCTAGAACTGGCATGTGGTCTGAATCAGTTTTGTTTTAACCTCCAAACACATGGGAATAGAGCATAATGTCTAATATCACCTCCTCGAGAGTTATCCCGCAAGTAAGTGAATTCAGTAGGCACGTAGAAATAAATTGTGTGATTATTTATGAAGTCCAATAATTCTTCACCATTTCTGTTAGTGCGTCTCCAGCCCCATTCGATGTTTTTACATTAAGATCCCCTTCAAGGATGATATGCTTGTCCTTAGGTAGTATTTCAGGTAATTTCTCACTATCCAAGCGATGATGGGAAGGATTATACAAGACAGTAAACAACCCCATATAAGTAAGGCAGATACAGTAACAGACACAGTCTTCACTAATGTGACACGATTGAAGAGAGTTTTTGATAAAGATCGCGACCCCCGCCTCTGTGACTCAGTCTGCCGCATCTATAGCACTTATAATTTGCTGTTTTTAAATTATAACATGTACTCGCAAAAGTTACGGTAATTATTGCAACATAAATATCGTAAATTAGTAGAAAATTATGTAGCTGCTGCATTTTGTTTAGCAGACTGCGTGCGTTCCAAGTCATAATTCGAATTGGAGCTTTTTTAATACTATTTAGATCCATTATCTGTATTTTGAGTATTGGGAGTGTCTAGATTGGTTAAGATGTTTTATTTGTTGCGTGAATTGTAAAAATCCAGCGCTTTTAATTACAGTGACTATCTCCACCAGACCCATGAAAATTTTTTTAGCTTCGTTTTTAGTATCCGAGTATACCCCGGATTAAAGCACTTGTGAATATGATTTTCCTTCTATGATACGGTTAGAATAGGTTTTTGTCTTTTCAGTGTTATTT